TCATATCAGTAGCTATGATATTTTCTGGGTTGTGTTGTGATAAAAATAGCAACAGGCAGTGCCAGTAGAGCCAAGTGCAACCATCTGGCATTACACAATGTGCACCTTAAATAATGACCAAAATAAATTAGATTTTCTTTTAAAATAACATAAATCATTTTTTAAATGTCTGTTAGTTTCCAATTTGTTTCCAATTTTGACATATCTGAGTGCAAATAACAAAAGCTCGACTATTTCGGGATCAATGATCTGACGAGTGCAAAGCACAATGGATGGACCCAAAAAAAGATTTGATGCTTCATAAGTTTATTCCTTCGGCTTAGTCCCTTTATTAATTATGGGTCAGCACAGTGGAACAAACCACCAACTATCCCAGCCTATGTTTTACACAGCTGATGCCCTTCCAGCTGCAACCCAGTACTGGGAAACACCCATACTCGCTCGCATTCACACATGCAATCATACACTATGGCCAATTTAGTTTATTCAATTCACCTATAGTGCATGTCCTTGGATTGAGGAGGACCCGGAGAAAACCTAAACAAACACAGTGAGAACATGCAAACTCCACACAGAAATGCCACCTGGTCCAGCCAGGACTCGAACCAGCAACCTTCTTGCTTTAAGGCGACAGCGCTAACCACTGAGCCACTGTGCCACTCCTACAAGTTTATGTGTATACAAAAAAAGAAAATAAACTAAATAACAACATAAAACAAACAAATAACTTTAAGTCCACTTATGAATTTTTTTTAATTGATTCAGTTATTTTGCAGCGCGTATTAAATTGGCAAAGGTCATGTGATTTCAAAAAACGAGGCTTCGTTAGATCAAGAAAGCTTCGAAACATTTCAACAATTGAATCGTTCTGCACTTGGGGACGAATATCATAAAATCCGCATGCATCATGCAGCTTTATTCAGATCGCCCCCTAGTGGCCAATCACTGAACATGTTTCATAGTTTTTACCTGACCTCGGATCAGTTTTATAAGTTTGTAGATGTTTTACTGAGAGATTTGTAAAAATTAAAAGAAATAATAGCTAATACAGGCGAATGATCAAGACAGGCAGCTAAACAACGATAAGAGTAAATCAAACAAGGGCCAAAAAAACACGAAAGGCAAGACAAGGAAAAAAGCTAGGAAATGCTCACTTACAGTATCTAAGACTCAGCAACAATGTGTGTGTTTGTTCTGTTCATAGTCTGTTTGATTAAACCTGAACAGCTTCTACTGTGTGTTTGCAATCAGGGGAAACCTGGGCCAGGTGTGTGAGTGAAGTGCATAATGGGGTCTGTAGTTCATAAAAGTGGCAGATTTGTAGTTCTCCAGCGATCTCCAAAAGCTGGATTGCTGGTGATTGTGACACCTCTAGAGGGCACATTCAGAGAAATAAACAATGTTAACAAATGCACAACATCATTTTAAATAAACTATTTAGTACAAATGAAAATAATTAGTAATATGGCTCCTACATTCGTATTCACTGAAGAACCACTTTTTTTGTGTGTGTAAGTTTACCATTTAGATTCAGTAAAGAAAATTGGGCTAAATATGGCTGAACAGCACCAGAGGCTTTTTCATTTTTGTCTTGAGAGTTGTACAGTATTGTGGTAAATATAGAAACAGGCAATACCATTAGTTCACAGAATGCAACTGACATCAAGTACTGCACACCTAAAGTAATTGCACCTCCCATAATACAGAATGGACATGGATTTTTTTAAAATAACATTAATCTTTCATGGCTTTCCTCTATATTTCAGTATAAGAAACAACATTTAGAATAAATTAAGCCATTCAAGTCTAATTACCCAGGGTTACTTTTAAAGTATGAGCAGTTCAAATTCAAGCAGCCAGAAATAATTAAGCATGTATAAGCTTAGATCGGTATTTCAGTCACGCCGCAATGCTTCAAGCGCAGTTTTGCATTTCTAAATAAATCTGGCCACATAGACAGGAAGCTTTACTATATAAGGACTGGACATCCTGAGCTCTGTTAATGCAGCGTGTGCTGCACATTTGTTGTTTCTCACAGTCATCTGCTCAAAACCGCGAAAGCATTGTCTGTAATCCACAAAATCAGATGCTAATCCTTGGAATATGGCAAGCCAATTTTGAGCAGCTTGTATGCATGCAGACACACTCATGCAGGATAGCGTCTCTAACTGTATGGGTCTTTTTAAAGGCTGAGATGCCGATTAAGAGCCGTGAAGGATTAAGGGCAGCAGGGAGAGTGGCGTAACACATGGGAGGTGTGGGTCTGTGTTACGTAGAGGGCGGATGGGTGATACTATGACCAGACTAAATGAGCTCTTCATGCCCCATCAGGTCCGATAAAACCAAGGTCTTTGCCTTGGCTGCGTTGCTCTGTCTTTCTGACTGGATGGCCTGCAGAGTCAGAGAAATCTGTAGCTGCAACGAAACAGTCTAATAGCCTGTAGAGGTGACGATCTGTGATTAAATAACATGCATTTGGAAATATCAGGTTTTGGGTGTCTTATATACCAATTAAAATTCAGGCCAATTTACTGTAGATGTCAAATATTTATATTTTTTTTAGTAAATTGGACAGTATTTAACAGTAATATGAACTGTATTTTACCGTAGGCCAGTTCTGTAGTATGTTACTGTATTTTAATGCATTGTGAAAATCACTGCTATACAGTAAAGATATACATACAATTCTTACATATACAGCAAGATAAATGGTGCTTTAAATGTAAATACAATATTTTTGCTGTAAATGATTTACAGTAGTTGCTGTAGATTCCATGGAAAATTGTTAACAGTGTATGTATGGCTTACACACTAAAAACTGTGGGTTGTTTAAACTTAATGTTGGATTAAATATTGACAAAACCAACTATTAGGTTAAAAAGTGTAATTAAATTTCATTGAAAAATTTGACTACACGTTGGGTTTGTCCATATTTGACCCAATGTTGGTGTACAACAACTGAGCGTTTTAGAGTGTATCATTCTATTATCTACACTGTAACTCTAGATTACACTACAAGATTATGATCATTATAATATGTAGCATTCAAATGTACATCTAAAAAATGATACTCATTTTGAGATAGAATAATGTTCCTTAAAAAATGTTGATAAACTATTTGATAAACTAATATTTTTTTAAAGATTAAGACAATTGAAGGTAATTTATTAGTATTGGCTTGTTGATGATGGCCAGAAACTTTAAATTTTGGTATTTGTGATGCAGCAAGCCCAGAGACTGTTGTGTACACCATAATTTTATGTAAAATTCCCTTTAATGGGTGATATGACTAAAAAGTGGGTGATATGTCATAAATGAATATTTTCCGAAACAGTATTTCATACGTCATGACTTAACAACCAAAAAATAATAATAATTATAAGAATAAGAATAAATGCACAATTAAATTTACAAAACATTCACCTAACAATGTTACTGATATAATGGAGAACTATGTAGTATTTAGCAATTTACTAAACTTACTAATTAAGTGTAAATTTTAATATTTAAATATATGCAATTTTACCTTTTTAACTTTGTGATATCAAATTTATCAATGACAAATTAGAAGCATTCATCAGTCTCCAACTTTTGGACCAAATTTGATATTTATTTCACATATGTTATTTTATGATAGTGAACTATATTCATGCAGTAGCTACATTTTATATATTTTCTATAGCGCTTTTACAATGCAGATTTAAAAACAGCTTAACACAGAAGTTCTAGTAAACTGAAAATGAAACTGTGTGAGTCCAGTTTTCAGAGTTAAAGTTCAATTTAGTTCAGTTCAGTGTGGGTTCATTTTCACTGCTGAAAGTCCAAACACTGAAGAGCAAATCCATGGATGCGCTGCTTCACCATTACCAAACCAAGCAAGCCAGTGGCAACAGGGGCAAGGAATAAACTTCACCTATTGCTGAAAGTTAAGGGGAAAAAAATCTTGAGAGAAACCATTTCTGCTCTGGCCAAACTTTTCATGCAGAGCTGCAGTCTAGGCGGCAGAGGAACCTGGAGACCTGAAGAACGCTGGATGCCCATCGTGGAGAAGCTGCAGATGCAAGAACTTCACCGGCAGGTGGTCAGGCTTACACACGGGATCAATGCAGAGACTCGTCGGTTACTGAGTCTCCACTCCTCCATGACCGTCACAGCATCTGCTCAAGATACAGCCTGGTCCAGGATTATGACACCTCAAAAAGTGTTCTGTGGTTGGCGTCATAAATGTGTTTTAATAAAAGAAAAATAAATAATAATGCTCAAGAATTTGCTTTCTGATGTAAGGTTAATATCTTAATATTTAAGGTTAATTGGCTTTCCATATCATTTTAATTTGGGTGCAGTACCCCATATTTCTGCAATGTGAAATTATTAGTTTCCAATGTAGGCATTTTTAACCACAAACAGCACAAGTTTTACATATTTTAGCACCATTTACCCTTTTAAACAATTAAATTAGAATTTTGTAGCATTCAGATATGGTAAGCGATCTACTTTTTTTGTTTAAAAATTATTAACCCACCAGAGGGTTAATAATATTACATAAGCTGTTCCACTAGTCATAAATGATTATAAAAACTACAATACATATATAAAATGCAAAAAATTATTACATTAATAAATAAATCATAATCGTTTCTGACTTTTTAGACCATGGCTATGCTATATAACCACTCTATACAGCCATACAATCCTGCCAGATTTATAGCCTTCATTTCAATAGCAAATGATTGACAGTAAGGAGCCGGCGTTCATGTTGTTAGGCCCAGCGTTCTCACTGAAAATCCCTTGAGCGTGCTTTGAGGCGTAATGAGAATAGATCCTGCCAGGAGACCCCCGATGTGGCTGATGACAAGCGGGTTCAAGGTGCGAATAAAGCCTTCGTACAGTTTTTTCTTTCCTCCATCCTCATGAATATGCAGGGATTTGGCTCCTGGCAGCGGGAGGGGAAAGTGGGCGGAGAGAGAGGTGCATGAGGAGAGCAGAAGGGGGAGGGGGAATCCATCCGTCAGTGCGCAGGCTCTGTGGAGGAGACGACAGGACGACTGCTGCTTAATGCTCAGAAAACAACACTCTGAGCCTCGGCTGGCTTAGACAAGACGCCGTGGACTAGAACAGGGAGCCGGGCGGCCATCACGACTCCAGCTTGCGTGTTTGTGATGGGAATGACTGTGTTCTTTCATCCTGACTGATGGTGGATTCACTCTGACTATATCGGAATAGGAGGGGCTTTTTTCAACCCAGATACAGAAGGAGAGATTCTTCTGCAGGTAATTTGTTCCTCCCTCTTTTTTTTCCTATCCTCCATCACTCCATCGTCTCCATCCTGCCATTGTTTTCCCATTATTCCCTTCAGGATTTATGGGGTAACCTTGATCTCTGTTCATTCTGCTTCCATCCATTTCTATTTTTTCTTCTTCTTTTTTCTTTCTGTGCAGATTTATTTCCAATTATTGATTTATTTTTAACATTTTATTTTAACATATTCCTTCTGTATTATTATTCCAAAATATGAATTTTTATCCATGTGGTGTTACCTAAAGATATGCTTGAAAAATTAGTCCACCAGATCTGATTCGGTGTGATGTTGTATTTCATCTCTGCCATGCTTTATGATGTGATCGGCCATATTTCTTCCCATCATGGCTTGTCAGTTCATCTTGTCTAATAACACGGCTGATATTGCACAACACAGGTCACACCGGCACTCAAAAAATTCATCTTACATTCACAAATAATTCTCAATTTCAGAAATACCTCTCACAGTTTTTTGTCTTATCATTATGAATGTGATGCACAATTCTGTGACGTCATCCTCAGTGGATGTCCCACAGCAAAAATAGTTCTATTCCATTGGTACAATTTGTGTTTCATCGATTGATTTGGGGTCAATATGCTATTTAAACTCCTGCTCAATTTCACACACCCATCCCCAGGAAATGTGAATAAGGGGAAGCGGTTTATCACTGTAACGTTGCATTAACAATAGTCCGATTTTTTTTATCTGGTTCTCATCATAGACGCAGACTAATGCATGGCAGACAAACAAATCAATGCGCATCCACAAAAACTAGGGAGTGGGAAAGGTCATAACAATAATTCTGACATGGCACAGACAGTGTTTTAGTGGAATGGCACTTTGCTGACTAATGTAATGTTGGGGTAAAAGCTTACGCAAGCCTGTTTTAAATGGATTTTGATCCTTTTACAGCCTGACTCTAAGCCTGATAAAGCCTTTGTGCTCATTCACAGCAACTGTCAGTTGACAGGACAAAAAAGGAGGTGTGAACTGTAATGGGTGGATGTTATATGTACCCCGAACTTGTTCATTTCAATGCATGAATCAATGCAATGCATTTTAAAGATTAAATCGATTCTTGGAAGTCATCTTGGCCTGATCAGAATGTAAATAGAGGTTGTTTTGGGAATCAGCCATGTAGATAAAATAACACCATAGTATTATGAAGGTGTTCATTCATTCATTTTCCTTTGGCTTAGTCCCTTTATTCATCAGGGGTCACCACAGCGGAATGAACTGCCAACTTATCCAGCATATGTTTAACACAGCGGATGCCCTTCCAGCTGCAACCCAGTACCGGAAAACATCCATACAACACTCATTCACACACATACACTACGGCAAATTTAGTTTATTCAATTCACCTACAGCGCAAGTCTTTCGACTGTCGGAGCACGTGGAGGAAAGCCATGCCAACACGGGAAGAACATGCAAATTCCACACAGAAATGCCAACTGATCTAGCGACCTTCTTGTTGTAAGGCTGATTAATGAGCAACCGTGAATCCAGTATTGTTTGGTGAATTAAATAATAATGCTTTAAAGACAAGATTTCCCTTTTTGAATGCATCACATGCACTGTATATTTACATAACAGTTTACACATATGTCAAAAATCTACTATGTTGCCAAAATAAAAAATTTGAATAAATGTTAAAATACAGGTAAGATAATGCTCCACTGTCATTCGGTGACATGACGTACCTATTCTGTGAGTAAATATAAATAAGCGATCGTATTTAATTATATTTTAAGTCAAGTTTATTTATAAACAAATTTCGAGAGGATCACGTGCTTGTGATTGTTCACAGCTGTTCCAACTTTAGCTAATGACTGATTATCCTATCAGACGATCCTTAACTCACTATAAATAACTAGACTTTTCTCATCTCAATACCTTTGTCTTGAAGAACCCCCCCCCCCCCCCCCCCCCCCAACCCTACTTTCTCTCCTTTTAGCGCTGTTGCCTCACAGCAAGAATGCCCCTGGTTTAATTCCTTTCCAAACCAGACGGCATTTCTGTGCGGAGTTTGCTCGTTCTCCCCGTGGTCGCGTGGGTTTTCCCCGGGTCCTCCGGTTTCCTCCCACAGTTCAAAAACAAGCACTCTAAACAATTAATCCAAATACTTTAGCTATACTCTGCTAAAACAAGTAAGAGGGGGAGTCATTGAGATCTGCCTGAGCTCAAACTCCCCTCTCGCCTTGCAACGGGAGGGAGCCCAGGGCTCGAGGATCTTATAAGCTCAGGGCTCTCTCCCGGGACAGCACGCCAAACTAGCTTTATTATCAATCATCAGCTAAGTGTGAACTCTTGAAAAGACTAAAAGATTGACAAACAGGCAAGACCTTGAGTTTTTAAGGATAGATAGGAAACATTTAATTATTTACTTTTTATTTTTATTTCGAGGCTTCTTTGTGAGCCTTAAATAAAGTCTTTTAATATGAAAGCAGATAATACTTGTTCTAAATATGCATAAAATATTTGGTATATAAGCAAGTTATACTTCTCTTACTTTTTTTACTCCTACTTACACTGTCTACTGTGAATAATTGTAATTATTTAAATTAAATAAACATATTTAAATAATGGTGCTCAATATTTATTTATTTGATTTTAAAAAAATAAAGTAAAAAATGTAAAGATGTATTACACTTATTATTTTACTGCTGGAAAACCAATTTTCTTTGACCTTCATGCATTAAATCAATATAGAGTTTTATAAAGCACTAATGGCTGCAGAGAAAATGCTAATGCTAATGTACTTTCTCGTTGACTCTTTTTCATTTGTTTTAGAGAGTGAATCTGAATGAGCACCAGCTATAATTGCTGTCTGACTTTGGCTACAGCACAGTCCCAGTATTTATTGGGGAAAACTCCCAGAGGTTCTGCTGAATCAACCGTTACCCAGATTAAACACAATTACTTTCAGTCTTCTTGAGCGAAATGCAGTCACTGGTGCTCCACGCTTGCTTAGTGGAAGAGAACGAAATTAATTTAATGAGATGTCATCTGAGAGAAACCCTATTTTATAGTCTAAATATTCATAGTTGATAAGCTTCACAAAATGTTCCTGCTTCTGAGGCAGTCACTGTTATATAACTCATACTGCTCATACTTATATAACTCAATATAAACATATTTAAATTCATTTTCAGCTGTTTAAGAGAAGTGAGCTTTGTTTGAGTATGGCATTTATTTTGAGGTATTGAATATGGAACCAGATCAGTTTAAAAAATAATTCATTTACAAAATAAGATTCATACTCAATTCACATTTATTTTGTTAATTCAAAACATGTTTAATAGTGGTAATTATTTAAAAATGTCTTTAAATATTTATGACTTATATGCTCAGAAAAAAACATGCAAACATGTATTACACTTATTATTGTACTGCTTGAAAACCACTTTTTCTGACCTTTATGTATTAAATCAATAAATCAATCAAAAGAAAATTCAGTAATACGCAAATCCAATTCGTAAATTTAAAAGACAATTCATAAATATGCAAATCAAATTAATAAATTAGAAGATAATTCATAAATATGCAAATCCAATTCATAAATTCAAAACACAATTCATAAATAAGCAAATCAAGTTAGTAAATTCAAAAGACAATTCAAAAATACATAAATCTAATTCATAAATTTAAAACACAACTCATAAATATGCAAATCCAATTCGTAAATTCTAAACAAATTCATAAATATGCATATCCAATTCGTAAAATCAAAACACAACTCATAAATATGCAAATCGGTCCGTGTACGTTGCGTTCATTCGATTTTTGATCTTAAACGAAATTTAAAAAACGAGGAAACGGCCGTTTTTCGTTTTTTTATTTGGCTACAAAAAAATTAAATAACTGATTTTGGCTCGATTTTCTTTTTTTGGTTTAGGGTAGGAAAACGGATAAATGACTTTAAAATTCATTATCCACATGTAGGCGGTTCTGAAACGCCCATTTCCTCTGATTGGTCAATCAAATCTGGGCTCCTGACGTCGCCTTCAAAATAACAGTCCTGTAGTCTTCGTCCTCTGCGGATCAGCACACAGGCATTTAATATATTATATTTAATATATAATATATTAGCAGTATTATTAGACATTTATCATTACAATTTATCATTACTATTATAGTTCGCCGCCAAATTTGCTGCTATGCACCTGATACTGAGCAAAAGATTTGCTGTATCAAATACATATCAAAGTCCCTTTATAGTCTTTGCCTCTCTCTCTCTCTCTCTTTCTTTATGTGTGTGTGTGTGTGTGTGTGTGTGTGTGTGTGTGTGCATAGGCTATATAGCCTAGAGAGGAAAAAAAGAGAGAAAGCGAGAGATAGATAGATGGATATGCGTACATGTAAGGATAAAAGCTTAAATTCAGCCGAATATTAATGAAATACTTTAATTGGCCATATGGCTGTTTCCGAACACTGCCTTTTGTGTTTTATTTGAATATTACAAAATTAAATAGTCAAAATGTTTTTTTACCATTCTCTCTGGCTTTTTTCAATAACAAAGAAATATATTTCAAAACAACACTTTAAAATGTATTACTTACGCTACATTAATAATAGATTTACTGTAGAGCTCAGCAGTTTACTCCCTGAATTCACAAGAGTTACATATGGGAGTATTTTTTAAGCGCTAAAGTCTACATTTTTATTTAATCGGGTGGATCAGGTGATAGGATCAGTCATTGCTTATGCAAACGTCATCTACGTTCTGAAAATAATAAGGTGTTTTAAAAATGTGTATCTTGACAAACTGGCACAAATTTGGATATAAAAATCTTTCATCGTGGCAGACACGCGCAATCTCTCACAATGAGTTTACTGCACAAGTTTGGAGGATGTTGTTCATAAAAAAAAACAAAGACGGCAGATTTTTAATTGTTTTGTAAGTGCACTCAGGCATATGTTTTTGCATATCTATAATTCTTTACAAAAGATTGTTTAATTATTCTGTTT